TTGAATGCCCACATGTTCTTCGTGTTCAAAAGTGCCACAAATGAGTGTGAGGAACTGCTGTCCATTCTGCCACTGATCGCCAGCCTGGCTCAGTCCTGCTCTACTCCTTCTTTTCAGAAATAACAATAGTGCAGGCATGGGCCATGCTCCAGGAAGTCAGTTTTGTGACCTAGAGAAGCCACCCATCAATTCAGGTGAGCCAGAAGCAGTTGTTTGGGCCCCAGATGCCGGGATTAGATTCCAGAGCTGCGGCCAAGGACCACATAGACCAGAGGTAGGTGTACAGTCACAAGTCAGGCCCAGATCAGGATCCAAGGAAGCAGTCAAGGAAAGGGCATTGGCACTCAGGCTGCATCCTTACACCAATACAAGTTTGGGAAGCCAAATTAGCCAAAAACACACAGGGCCCAACACCTGCAAGAATGAAGCCCAGGATCAGCTGAGGCTGGAATTGGCCAGTATGCCAGCTCCAGATCCAGCATGTGACTTGTAGGAGGGAAGGGTGCTTTGGCGTGTAGATCTCCTTGGTTAGATTAAATAGAGAAGTATGGGGGGAGGAAGGAAGGAAGGAAGGAAGGAAGGAAGGAAGGAAGGAAGAGAGGGCATAGTGGGGGGTCTTTTTTGCCTACCCCAGTACTTCTAATTTGGGCAGTGAGATATTATTTGACAGGAAGTCCTCTCTGTTGGAGCCACATTCCTCTGTGTGTCCAGTCTAGCAAACAGGAAATGTTGGACTTGACTGCTCTGTCTGGATATCCCAACACTCTGGAGCTGGTTTCGGGGATTCTGGAAGCAGATCTTCCCCTTGGTTTGGCTGAGCTGCCATCTCAGGCGGCACTGGGCGTCCGAGGCGGCCTCCAGCTGGAGGATCTGGCTGGTGGATCCTCTTCCTGGAGGCCTCCATCGGCGCGTGACCGCAGCTCCAGGCCAGTTCTCGCGGGGAGGGCTCCAGGGCCCGGCTGCAGATGCCCTCGGCCTCGAGGGGGGACACAGAAGAAGGCATCACACGAGCGCACCTATCCAAAACGCGGCAGAGAGAGCGCGGCGACCACAAGGCAAAGGGGAAAGTCTGGCGCTTCAGGACCACAGGCGCAGGATGGGGTCTTGCCTACCCGGACTAGCATCGGTCCTCCAGGGCTTCAGGCAGGAGAGCCTTTCCAGACCTCCCTGGGCGTGAGCCTGGCATGGAAAGCGCCTCCCCTGCAGCATGGGGCGCAGGCACTGGAGGCGAAGGCTGGCGGTTCTGCGGGCAGCGCTTCCCTTCCCGTGTAAGGCCTGCCTACCCCAGCAACCCCTCCCTCCCTCGCACCCCAGTATGGTTTGGAACGAACGCGCCCCTTTCCAAACCCCGAACCTTTCCAATCCCCGAGCCAATAAAGGGCGCGCAATTTAAGCGCTAGTGCGCAAGGGAAACAATTGGGGGGGCGGGGTCCCCCCTTCGGAATCTCTCTCTCTCTCTCTCGGCTATGGCGGAAGAGCCCTCCGGCCCCCGCCCGGCTCCTCCTCGGTCCCCCGCGGTACCGGAGCTCCCCTTCCAGGCTGCCTCTGTCCCTGCAGGGCCGGCGCGCTCCCTCCCGTCCTCTTCGGCCTGCTGGGGGAAGCGCTCCCGGCCGAGCTTCGCTCCGGGATATTGTTGGTGGCGAAGGGCAGCCGCGGCCGGGGATGCAGCTCAGCTGACGGCTCCCTGCCCGGAGCTCTGCGCTTCCCCGGGTCCCCGAAGCCTTGGACTCCAAAGCCGCCTCCGGGCTGCACCATCCGTCGGCGGCGAGGCTTTCCCAGCAGCGGAGCGGGATCTCGGACGCCGACCGGGGGGACAGCTGCCAGGCGCTGGCGATTGGGTTGGCGGCCAAGAGGGCGAGAGGAAGGGGCGGGGATCGCACGGGGGTGGCAGGGAGCTGCAGCCCCGGAACCCTCGTGCTCGGATCCGACCAGGCGACCCGAAGGAAAGGAAACGGCGCCTGCTGCCTTGTGCCTGCTGTCTGGCTGGTCTCGTTTGCGCTCTAATACCCCGCGCTTCAGGTTGGCTTGTTTTAAAAAAGAAAAGGTGTCCGGTACTGTTCAAAGCAAGACATCCTGGAGGCCCCGACGGCAGCTTGAAGGAATGGCGAGGCCCCGGCCACCGTCCCTCCAGTCTCGCCATCAGAGAAGGAGGCGCGGGGGGGGGGGAGCCGTACGGGATCTCCGCCTGAGGCAGGGTCGTATCTGGCCCCCGATCCTCAGGTTAGGAAGGGGAAGGGGGGGCTCGTGGTGGAAGAAGGAACGTTCAGGTCACAGTTGAGCGATCCTTGGAAAAGACGCCCCTGACCTCTGGAGCAGCACCTGCTCAGGGGTTGGCTGCAGGATCCAGCCAGCGAGCAAAGACCCCCTTTAGCAGAGGGCTGTTCTGCGCTAGCCTTCTGGAGATGCGCCACAGTTGCGCAAGCCAGACGCGCGACGGGGTTTGGGCCGAGGGACGCGGTCCGAGGCGCCCCCCGCCGGCTTCCGTGGGACTGCGAATCTCCCGGGACAGGAGGGCCGGTCTTCGCTTCCCGGACAACCCCAAGGCGGGTGCAGGTTCCCTTTTCCCCTTGCCGACGCTTCCTTGCTGCGAGATCCAGCGCCAAAGCAATAATCGGCCCGTCCCTGATCCCTGGGAAGGGCCCGCCTGGGATGCGGGGCTCGGGCAGAGGCGCCTCCGCTGTGTGGGGCAGCTGCGCTCCTTACCAGGGACCAGCGCGCGCGCCTGTGCTATAGAGCCTGCAGGCTGCCAAGAGAAGCGGCAGCCCTGCGCTGGCGACGGCCTCTCGGCTCCGGCGGCCTGACGACGAGGAGGCTCCTTGGAATCAGCCACTGAATAGCTAGGGCTCCGGCTGCAGATAAGCCCTGCCAGAGTTTCAGAGAAGATCCCTGGTGAGAGTGGAAGAGGCTGAAAGCAGGTCATAGTCTGGCCAGCGAGCAGGGCTTAGAGGAGAACAGTTCCCAGCCAAGCTATTTCCGTGCAGCAAAAGCAACAAGAACGAGAGAAGTTCGTGCCGTGATAAATTCCTTAGTCTTTCAGGTGCCGCAAGACTCTTCTCGGTTTATATTAGAGTTGCTGACATCCCGTGAAAGATAACTTGAGTCTGGATGGGATGGATGCGCATCTTCCAACCTGGGGCATCAATTGTGGTAGAGGCTGACGCGGTTCTTTGAAAAGGGAAGCTTTAGAATACAGTCACAGGGAGACTTCACAAACCGACCCAGAGGCGCGCGCGCAACCACCGACGCGGAGAGTCTACATTGCTCACTGTTGACCCGATTCTTCTCATTGTCTCCAGTGGGATTGCAGCAACGCCTATGTGTACAGTATTGCGGACAAAGTGTTTTGAAAACAGGTTTGAGTTTGGTTCTTGTATAAACTGAAACCTAAGCCCACGTGGTGTACTGGTGAGAGTGTCGGACCTGTAAGATGCTGCTTCAGAGCCCCACTCAGTCGCTGCCTCTCAGCCTGACCTACCTCGCAGGGCTGTTGTGGGGTATTAAATGAGGAAAGGGAGAGCCGTGCACCCCACCTTGAACTCCTTGCAGGAAAAGGTGGGATATACCTGCAATAACAAAATAATAATGAACACGATTCGTGTTCGGCGTCCCGGACACATTGTGCATTCATGGGTGAGTTTTGTAAATCCTGTACCTGAAACTGTGTGGCTTTGGATATAAATCCAGCTTGGGCGGAGGGAACTAGAAGGTCTCCCTCTCCCAACATAGTCTTGTTTTTAAAGAAAGCAAACGTTATCCAAAAAGAAATGGCCAGGTAGTTTTTGCAGCGCTACCACCGCACCGCTAAAGACTAGACCCACAGTAACTCAATGTAATTCGGTTAGTACCAGCCTCGTTTAGTGGCGTAAGGAGAGCCCTGAGGTCAAAGCGGATAGTAACGCTTACCTATCGGAGACCTAGACAAATAGCAGTTCTTTCTCCCAGTGTGGCTGCTGTTGGAGAAAAGGCGGCACCGGCGGAGGTAATAAAATGCGGGCGTCGCCACCTCCCCTCCAGATCTTGTCGGACTACGACTCCCATCATCCATTATCGTTGGCCATGCTGGCTGGGGCTGATGGGAATCGAAGTCCAACAGCACCTGCCTCGGCTTTTGGAGCCGCACACTGAAAGGGAGGGGGTGTCAAAACAGCCCAGTGGGGAGGGAGAACTGTGCATGTTCAGGGGCCACGGAATGCTTAGGCTGTTGGTGAAAACCTGCTTGGAGGGGAATGGCTAACTGTTGTTAGCTGCTGCTCTGAGCCCGGCTTCGGCTGGGGAGGGCGGGATATAAATAAAATTATTATTATTATTATTATTATTATTATTATTATTATTATTATTAAAGCCTGAGGAAGGCCACACGGCAGCATCTTGACCAAATATACGTATATGGCACCTTCCTGCGCTTAACAGGTCGAGAGTGGCGTCGCTTCTACCCAAATGCCTCTCTGTCCCATCACTCAAACACGTTCACTTAAAAGGGGCAAGAAGGAAACCCAGTTAAGTTCCCTGCAAGTAGAGAAGCCGGAGTAAATTGGCTGAAATGCTGCGCGGAGAAAGGAGGCTCAAATCTTACTGAAGTGGACGGCAATGAACTGGCCCGAGTTCAGGAGGGCAGCCTTTAAGGGTGGAGGAGTTTCTGTGTGTGTGTGTGTCTGTGTGTGTTTTACTGCTGAGTTTTGGATCGGGGGATGCAAAGCTGCCCCCATTCTACCTACTCCCAACGCCTCCATCTGTTTGCAGCCCTGGTCCGAGCAGCAGCACAGAAAGTCATAAGTATCAAACGCAAATAGTCTCTACGTTCAAAAGTAGAGGGTGATCAGACAAGATGTGCGTGTTCAGCGTAGCATGGCCTTAGGAAAAAAGGAGAGGGTGATGGACTACAGAGCCCCAAATCGGCTCCCATACAAGGAAGGAATCCTGCCTTCTCTGCGTGACTCCAGACTTCTTTTAGTTGCGGATTCAGGGATATTTGTAATAAAATAAAATAAAATAAAAAAATCCTTCCAGTAGCACCTTAGAGACCAACTAAATTTGTTATTGCTATGAGCTTTCGTGTGAGCTTCTTCTTCTTCAGATACCTTGCATGCACACAAAAGCTCATACCAATAAAAACTTAGTTGGTCTCTAAGGTGCTACTGCAAGGGGAATTTTTTTTTTATTTTGTTTCGACTACGGCAGACCACACGACTACCTACCTGTAACTAGTGATATTTGTGATCCTGACGCTGTGGGCGCAGGCATAGCAATGCCACCTTCGATACTGTTTGGCCTTGCAAAGCCTTCCAGGCAGTCGCTCGGCTTCATTTCTGATAAGACGGTAACTTCCAGCTGAAATCCCGTGACTTTTCGTGCCACAGTGTTGCGAGTGTGTGTGTGCTGTAGCCCATGGGTAGGCAAACGAAGGCCCAGTCTCCTTCTAAATCCGGCCCACGGAGGGTCCAGGAATCAGCGTGTTTTTACATGAGTAGAATGTGTCCTTTTGTTTAAAATGCATCTCTGGGTTATTTGTGCGACATAGGAATTCGTTCATACCCCCCCCCAAAAAAAAACTATAGTCTGGCCCCTCAGAAGGTCTGAGGGACAGTGGACCGGCCCCCTGCTGAAAAACTTTGCTGACCCCTGCTGTAGCCCCTCAGCCTAAGGTAGTAGCACTGGAGGAAGTATGGCAGAACAACGAAAAGAATCATCTAATTGTAGAGTTGGAAAGGGACCTCAAGGGTCATCTAGTCCAACCCCCTGCAGTGCAGGAATCTCAACACGCCGCCCCCCATCACCAATCAGAATAAATCCACTACTCTGCGCTATTGTTGTGCTGAGCACGTGCTCCAGAACACCACTCTCGGGGCAAGAAGCCCAGCCTCTCCGAACTGGTTTTTGGATCTGGCTACTGGCCTTCGCACCAGTAACTTGTCCAATATGACTCAGCTCACATCCTATTCGGATTTCAAAAGCGAACCCCGAAGATGACAAGGACACTTGCTGTGGGCTGCGTTGTTCGGTCACCACCGGACCTCCTAAAGCTGGAATCTCAATACGTTCAATCGGAAACAAGTTCGCTCAGTTGCTCTTCCTCTGTAAGCCATTTGACCCCAAATTGATGATGAAAAAGAACCACTTCCATGGGGAGTGGGGCTTATTGGTTGTTGTTTTTTGTTTGTTTTTATTATGCATTTTGTGTTTTTATATTGTGATTTTATGTTGTGACCGCCCTGAGACCTCCGGGTATAGGGCGGCATAAATTATTATTATTATTATTATTATTATTATTATTATTATTATTATTATTATACCAGCACATTTTGGGGGCAAAGGGCGGAAAGGGAAAGGCAGGCTTGAGCAATCGCCCCTCTCTCGGCACTTGGCTGCAGCAGTAGAAGCCGGTTGCCAGATGGATGGTTGGTTTTTAACTTTCTAGGGAAAGAAAGAAAGAAAGAGAGAAAGAGAGAAAGAAAGAAAAAGAAAGAAAGAAAGAAAGCGCCATTGGATACCTTCACGTGAGCCACTGGGGGGGCGGTCTTTACCGGGAAGGGAGAGACAAAAATGCAGTGCTTCTCCGTGGGGGACTCCGGTAGTAGCAGAGTTTGCAGTGTGGCGTAGTGGTTAGAGTATCGGGCTAGGACCTGGGAGACTAGGCTTCAGAGTCCCACTCAGCCAAGGTGTTCACTGGACCGGTCACTGTCTCTCGCCCACCTACCTCACAGGGTTGTTGTGAAGTACCATGTACACCATCTTGAGCTCCCTAGAGAAAAAGGTGGGATATGAACGCAATAAATAGAATAAAAAATCGTATTGCACTTTATTTCAACGGAATGTGTTTCAAATGACCGACGCTCCGCGTGGGAATCAATAGCGCAAGTCTAGCTAGGCAGAGGCCTCGTGCGCCTCGAAGAGGGATCCCAGCCGAGCCAACGAGTCACTGGATTGCGCGCAAGCTGCAGCTGGTCTTGGCACGGGTTTACCTGCAATGGACGGGCCCTTCCTTGAGGAGAGCTTACTTCACCCCACTGAGCACTTCCGAGCAGCCTGAGCGGGATGGGGCCAGCAGCTCCTTTCCTCCGCTTTGCCTGCCCCGCTCCCTCAGTTGGCACTTGGAGGCACGTTGTGTGGGAGCGGAGCAGCTGTTTCATAAAAAGTATAATGTTATTATTTATACCCCACCCAGCCACTCTAGGCGGCTTCCTACACATACAAAAACACAATACAAAATCAAGCATTAAAAACTTCTGGTGGAAGGGCGCCACTGCCAAGAAGACCCTCTGCCTGGTTCCCTGTAACTTCACTTCTCGCAGTGAGGGAACCGCCAGAAGGCCCTCACAGCTGGACCTCAGTGTCCCTTTAGTGAGAACTAGACATGCTCAAGGCGGAAGCATCCTTTACTCAAGAGAGGAAACGTTACTCAGTGGAGTAATCAAGGAGGGAGTGAACACTCTTAATGGGTTTTTTCCACACACAAAATGTCTTCTTAAGGTTGGGAGGTTAGTTCCAGTGTTTATGGCTAAATTAGGCGACAATATTAAGCACCTGCAAATCCGTTCAGTGGGCTCTGGCTCCTAGGACGCAGGAAAAGGCTTGAACTGCTTGCTTCTTTCTCTGACGCCGAGCTTTGTAGGAGGTGAGGGTTAGGGAGATGCAACGCCACCCCACATCTTCATCCTAATTAATCTTAACTTGCCTCCGTGACAATTTGCTGAGTTCAGGTGAGTCCAGCTCTTGAAGCAACGCCGCTGATCTCCAGGTGCTGTCCTGTAAATATCAGTGCTTCTTCAGCGCCCACCTTTCAAGTCCCTTCCACTTTCAGGATTCATGCACGTTTTTCTTTGCCCAAGAATTTACCTTCCAATAGGGACCGTCGCCGGTGCCTCCTGGTCCATATTCGTAGAAGAGGGACAGTCCGCCCAGATTCCAGCCACTTTCTTGCCCTCCGCCGCTGAGCGCTGCAGAGACCTATTGAGGCAGAGCGAACCAAGCGAAGGCCGCAGAGGCGGGCGAGGTGGCCTCATCCCTTGCCAGGGGTGGCAAGACAAGCGGATCAGTGGGATAAAGGGAAAAGGATCCTGCTGAGGCGCACTTATTTAATGGTTCCGCATTTGTGTCTATGGGTTCCCTGGTAGTTTGGGCCCGAAACCTAAGCAGAGATTTTCACGCAAGTGGGAGGAGCTCCGGGAGCTGTTGCAGCAGCGATTCCCTTTGAGGACGCCCCAACGCGCGGGATTTGGGTGTGTAATAGCATAGTCCCTCTAAGAGGTGGCTTTACTTGGCTATGCAATCCTGTAAAGGCCTTCTTAGAAGCAAGTCCTGCCAAGATCACAGAGACTTAAAACTGTCGAGGGTTTTATCTTTGCTTAATACTGTCCATTGAAATCCGTCGTATTTACGCAATAGCAAAAGTAGTTAATAATTTTATATCTATGCAACTCTTCTTCTCTTGTTTAGTATCCAAAGCACTGATTTGTCACTTCCCCAGATGCAATTCTATGTACACATATTTGAGAGGAAATTTGAGAGGATTCAAATCCGACTTTCTTCCGATTAAACAAATTTAGATTTGTGTCTGCCTTTAGGATTAAGAGTGAACTCTAAGTAAGTCTTCCCTCTTACATACGAGACACTTATATCCAAGCATAAAGTTGTACATATGCAACTTAAAGTTTTCTTTGACATGCTTTTGTTTTTTCTCCGTTATACTAAAAATAATTATGTATTACTTTGCTGTATCTTATACTGTATAGTTTATAAAGCCATCGCATGTCTTTATTATTTCAAATACGGACAGTGCACGGAATTTTGCAATTTAATTGTGTGACTCGTGCACTAGGTTTTAATTAAAACAAACAAACGGGGAGGCATGCTATTTCCACCTCTTTCCTCACTTTCGAGGAAGCAGCTTAACGCATATAAACTGATTCTTCTTGGAAATCGAAATGGCAGTGAAATTCACGACGCTGTGTTATGAGTCTTCCACCGCCTCCAGCATTCGCCAGGCAAAAATACAAAATCAAACTTTCAGGAGCAGGCGCGGAAGAGAAGCGGTGCAGAGAACGGCAGCCTCTCGGGCCCCACAGTTCCCAAGGATATGTACCCAGGAATAAACTCGTGGCGTCTCGTTCCCAAATTAAGTGTTCGAGCCCGTAATCACGAATTTGTAAGCAAGCCCGACTGAACGGAATGGGAGCTTTTCCGCACTTAGCACTGCGCCTTTAAGGGAGCTCGTTTGAACTCCAACTAAGAAACCTTTAAAAAGGAGAAGGCACGATCACAGATTGCAAGATTAGCATACATGAACAATTGTTTATTGAAATATTCAGAATGCCTTTTAAAAAGAGAGAGAGAGAAGCAGCAGCAGCAAGAAGACATTTTTTAGCTGCCAGTTTGTTGCCTTAAAAAACATTTTGGAGACTAACCCCCGAGCAATCGCGTTTTCTAGGGAGGAGCAGAAAGGGGGAGGAAAGCGGTCAGGTGCATCCAGAGAAGGGGGCGAGGTCACCCCGGGTTGATATGCGTGCAGCGAAGTGTCCTTTTTACACTTAAAGATTTTTGGGAAACCAATTATGGTGGTCATGGAGCTACTTTTTGTGTTTTCTTGGATACCTGTAAACACGTGGATCAAGGGCGGGGGCTGGGGTGTAACTGGAACAAAAAACTCGAATTGAATTTGTTGGAAAGTAAATCCTACATAGTTCAATGGGATTTACTTCCAAGTAGGCCTAAACCTGCAACCTTAAACGTATTCAATTTAAATTATCTGAAGGATAATGAGCCATCTTGGATCCTGCTGGTGTTGTAATCGCAGCGCTGAAGGCATGAAAGACCCTCCGACGCACAAGGGCAGAATCACATCCTAATAGCTTGGGACAAGACAGACACGCAATATATTCTGCCTGTTGTATAAATAATAATACTTTGGAGCATGTGATCTTTAACACGTTGAATAGTCTGCGCTTTGCCCCAGCAGACGACGATTTCAAAGCCCCTCTGCGAAGGCAGCTTCTTCCGTGACAGACACACTGCTTTAAGATTTAGTTGCATAAAAATAAGTGGGCATTTTAATATAAAGACTGCATTACTGTTATGCAGATAAAAACTGGTTTAAACAGCGAACAATTACTTCCTTATCTAAATACGCTTCTCAAAATACTAGCCCAACTACCAACAAAAATCGTTTCCCCCTCTATTTTTTCGTGTTTAGCTGCCAATTTTGATCCTAGAGTCATTAATTCATAATTGCAAGTAGGCTTCAAAAAATTGGAAAAGCTTTATGTTTACAAAATATATCCTTCAAGCTTTACAGGCGTCATGGATGTTTCCTCGTCACCGGCTATTTCAACGTTCTCGTCTTATCATAAATGGTTAGCTTGTTTTAAATAACACTAAAAATTAGTTTGCTTGCTTTTTAAAAAGAGGGCACACAGCCCCTCAATATTCCACAATCTCTATGCTGGGAAAAGCTCCGAGCTAAGAGGCTAAATTATAGTTGAGTGTACTACGATAATACATATGTTTACAGCTTGATGTACATCCCAGAGTAACTTATCTGGCGAAATCCCTTCTTCATTCCTCCTTCCATCTCTTCCCCCACCCCCAAATCAGATTTGCTACAGCAAACTGACGAAACTGGGATTAATTTTGTGACTTGGACTTGCTTCCATAAATATTTAGGCAGAGAAAAAGGTTGGTTAAAGAAACATAGTTTACGCATGCATAATACTTCATATAATACCTCATTACAGTCGCTAAAGACAAGTTATCAACTGAAGTTTTACTCTAATATGTTGTGAACAGGACACATGAATGCGCATTCCAGCTTTCCACAGGAAACATATTCGAACATGACTGAAGGAAATCAAAGGCTTTGGCAAACTGATCGTTTTCAACTGCTCAAACAGAATTAGGCTATAACATGACGTCAAGGGAAGTATAAACTATTATAATGGGGCGCTTGGGGAAATGGTTGAAGAATGAAAATTATTAAGGAAGATTTAAAAACATTTTATACCATAAATTAAAATCAACTGAATAATTATAGCGCATACTTCATATATGTTGATTTCTGGAGTGTGAGGGATAGAAAATAAATCCGAATATGGATTTTATATCGTAAATGTTACAGCAAGAGAAGATTGAAGGTTTTTTTCCCTCATGAAAACCTGTCCAAAATTCAATAATTATTTGCAAATTGGAAAGCAAATCTCTTTAGCATCCAATTAATTCCAGGTTGTTTTTTTTAAAAAGATACAAAACACCCATTGACAATCAATTTCAAGGTAGGCCACCTAAGGCCTTTCCTAAACAAGATACCGAATGAAAAGCTTTCAGAGGGAGGGTGATAAAACTATCTTGTTGAATGCCAATACTTCAGTTTCCCTCAATCTTCCTCATCCTATGAAAAGGCAATAAACTATGCGACAGATTCACTGTTTCAACTATACTTTTGATCCGAGGAAGGGCTGCGGGGGGCGGACAAGGGAAGGAGGCCGTGGTCCCTGTCATTGTGGCTGGAAAAGTAAACATCTTTACATTCTTTTCTTACACAACATTGCCGCCATTAAGAAACGCGAGAAGCCCACCCGCAGATCTTCGGAGTATAAGGAGAAGTGTCTCTAGGACTTGAGCCCGCAAACTATGGTTGGCGTTTTCTCCAGTATTCCTGGACGCAACCCTGGCAGGCTCTTGCTCAGGAGAAGTCCGAGGAACAGAGGTCAAGTAGAGACTTTTTGCTTTGCTTTTTGGAAAAAAAAAATTATTACGCCCGGGGAAAATATATAAGTTTATTGCACCTTTACAACAATCAAAAGCATCCAATCAAGTAGTTTGGGACCCAGAAAGGAAAGCGGTGTCCAAGCGGCCGAGGATCAAACGAGACCCGTCACTTGCGAGCGGAGGAAGGGCGCCGAGGCCGCGGAGAAGGTCGCCAGCGGGTAGGCGACGCTGCCGGAGACGGCGACCAGCGGCGGAGAGGCGTGCGCGGGAGGCGGCAGCGGGAAGCAGCCCAGCGCGCCGCCCGCCAGCGAGTTCTCATGGTACAAAATGGGCACGCGGACTATCCTTTGCGCCGCCGTGTGCGGGAGGTTGGCCGCCTCCAGGTCGGCCGCCAGCTGCCTCTTCCACTTGTTGCGGCGGTTCTGGAACCAGATCTTCACCTGCGTCTCGGTGAGGTGCAGCGAGGCGGCCAAGCCGGCCCGCTCCGAGCTGCTCAGGTAGCGCTTCACGTCGAAGGTGGACTCCAGCTGGAAGACCTGGCTCCGGCTGAAGACGGTGCGCGTCTTCTTCTTGCGCCCGCCGCCGCCGCCGCCGCGCGCCTCGCCGCCCTCCGACTCCTCCGCGCGCTCCTCGTCCACGCTGCTGCCCTGGCTGCCGCCACCGCCTTCCTGGGCGCCGCCGCTGCACGCCAAGTCCTCGCTTTTCGCGCCGGGGCTCAGCTCCGCGGCCACTTTCTCGCAGCAGCCGCCGCCGCCTCCTCCTCCTGCTGCTGCCGCTTCCTTCCCGGGAGATGCCTCCTCGGGGATCTCTGGAGAGTCTCTGTCGCTGGCTGAAAAAGGAGGAGAGGGTGAGCGAAGCAGGGACGGGTCAAGGACTACAATGAAAGGATCCTGAGCTCTGACCTTCGGCCATCCCCCTCCAACAAGCCTTGCTCAAGTGCTATCGGTGCTGCCGGTTAATTCGCCTCTTAATTCTTGTTTTCCTCTTTACCGTGTTACAGGAGCCCGGGAGAGATTTGTGTTAACAGAGTGCTGAGACAGACAGCCTCTCTGGGCAGACCCCAGCCCACACACCCGCCCGCGGAGAAGCCTTCAAGATTCAAGCGCCAAGATCTCACGATCACGAGGCTCCCCGAAGCAATTTAAAATGCAGGGAATGGGGCTGCACGCCACAAGGCCCAACCCTGATACTACAACGAGTCGAGGTGTCTGTGTTTTTAGAAAATAGGCTGCAAAAAGCCAAATAAATTCCCCAATACCGTGGCTGCTTGTGGCACACCCCAAATCCTAGTCTCCTCTCGCGCAAAGTACCTTTTACAATCCTCGATCTCTCCTCCTGAAGTTATGCAAAGCCTTTGTTTGTGTTTGTTTTAGGGACAAAGCACGCAAGCACCCAGCTCAGTTAAAGCTAAACATCTGGATTTAGCCAAGTTTCTTCTCGCTAATAGGCGACAAAGTGGTCTCTTCAAGCTAAGCCGAAGCGCTTTCCTCGGAAGCCGCTTCTCTTGTTTCCAAAACTTGCTTCCGAGAAAGCCGCTCCGGTGCTGCGCGTTTTAGACTAGGCCGGAGGCCGAGCTGCCCTGGGGACTGAGGAAAGAGGCGGCTCGTTACGACTGGATGTATATATGCTAAGATGACCAGATTTTTTTCAATGAATCCGGGGACACTTTCCAACTTCAATGGATTTTGTATGGGGACTGATTTGTAAATCCGAGGGAGAGCTATAGTTTGTAAAAACATTTCCCATTTTCAGAAAAGAAATGTCGTTTTATGTCTCCAAAAGAAAGACCTGGTTGTAAAAACGAATCTTTCGCGAGAAATATTATTTCTCTCTCTCGAGAGGCCTTAATAATGTCTTAAGCAAATTCGTGTGACACCCCAAGGATAGGACTGGCCCACCGACAGTGCCAGGGCCTGCGGTCGACGGGGCGACCAGGACAGAAGAAGAGGCAGGAAGGCGTTGGACTTCGCGGGGCCCGCGGAGAGAGGTCGGCCGGCGACCCTCTCAGAACAGCGGAGCACAGGGCAGGAAAGGGGTTTCTTTTTAAATGTTTCTTTTTATTTTTAAAGGGGGGTGTTTCGTCCAACTCTAGGGAAACTCTAGGGAATCACAAGGGGGTTTGCTTGGGCCTCAATACGCTCCCAAGAGCCGCCTTCACTAGCCTTGAACCCGGCTGGGCTTCCTTTGATGGGGAGCTCCACGACCCCTGCCCCCTCCCCGCGAGCCTGTCCCTCTCAGAAATGCCCTCGTGCAATCTGACGAGACACCCCCTCCCGGGAACAGGGGCGACGTGATCTCCGTCCACTGAGCCTGGGTTAGATGGGGAGCGGCCGGGGGCCCGGGGCCGGGAAGGGGAGCTGCGGCGACCCCGGACGGCGGCGGGCACTTACTTTCCGGACTGGCGCAGCCTATGAAAGCCACGTGCGCTCTTCTGTACCAGTCCACGGTGCTCTCCCGGAGCGGGTAGCCGCGCAGCCCGAGCCCGAAGCGGGAAGCCTGGCACGGGCAGCAGGCGAGCGAACAATGGCTGCCCGCGAAGCCTCCGCCGCGCGCCCGCCGCGCTTGGCGCTCGTCGTCGGCGCCGTCCGGCCGCTGCTCGTCCTGGGCTTTGGCGGCCAGCAAATTGGCGATGAAGAAGGAGGAGACGCGCGCCGGCGCCGAGGCGGGAGGCGCGCTCTCCGCGGCTTCGTCGGGCATCGCCGAGGGGAGGCGAGAGCCAGCGCGGCGGCCGGGCTCCGGGCTGCTGCCAAGGCGAGGGGCGCCGCCCGCTCAGCTCACCGGGCCAGGCGAGGCGCCGTCGACGGAGTCCTCATCCGCGAGCGCAATCGGCCCTCATTTCCTGCCCGGGCAGCGCAAAGGGAAGCCCCCATCCGAGGCGCCGGGGGCTGCGCCAAAACCGGCCCCGGTCCCGCGCTCGGCCCGCGAGCAGAGCTTCCTGATGGGACGCGCCGGCCGGGCAGCCGGGATTCCTGCGAGCGGCTCGGCCGGGGAGCGCCCGGGAAGAGCCCGCCGGAGAGCGAGCGAGCGCGCAGCCCCGGGCTCGGCGCCTCGCCCTCGCCAGCCTCGTTATTTAGGTCAATTGGGGAGCAAATCAAAACGCAGAAAGCGAGACTCACTGGCCGCAACTCCGGGAGAGAGGAAGGAGGCCGGAATCCGGGACTCCCATTGGTCAGCCTGGAGGGAGAGGACAGACGGAGCAGCCAATCACGACCTCTGCCACGGAAGGATGCTGACGACCAGAACGGCAGCCTGCGCGCGGCTGGCAAAGCTCCCCCTTTGCATTCCTTATTTGGACCCTCTCTCTCTCTCTCTCTCTCTCTCTCTCTCTCTCTCTCACACACACACACACACACACACACACACACACACACACACACACACACGCACAGGCTACCCGTGACCAGGGGAGACACCTCGGTCTGCTGCAACAAGAGTCTGCAGAGCTCCAGCAAGCTTCCTTAGGTAGCTTTCTGCCAAGAGGCGCAGCAGCCCTTGGAACGCGGACGTGTGGACACCTGAGGCGGACCCCAGAAGGGCGCGTCCCTCCCGCTGAGGGAAGATGGACATCAGGAACAAGGGGGAAGAAAGATCGACATGGGCATCTCCTGCCCCGTGAATCGGGCCGCCCGAGGCACTCGCCTCACCTGGCCGCCTGGCGCCTAGCCGCCTCTCCCCGCCGGGCGCATTCTTCGCGCGAGGGGAGCGCGGAGAGATCTGCAGACAGGAATGAAAGAAAGCCCATGGCGCGGCCCTGCGCCCCGGTCTCTAGCGCCCCAGGCTTCGGGGCCGCGTCCGTCTTCTGGAGGCAAGGCACTTCCCATGACTAGAGCGGAGAGAGGTCGAGGCGGCCCGAGGAGCACCCGGCCTCTTGGGGGCGCTGCGGAGGCGCGTTTCCCGGCAGGGGCAAGAGCCGCTCGGCTGCCGAGTCTCCTGCGCGACCAGGGAGACAGCCACGGACTAGACCCGGGGCCGCCTTGGACCCACGCACCTGAACTTGGCGCCCGCGCTTCGGCGGCCTTGGCTGGCTCGGGGCTCCTTGCGCAGGGAGCTCTCGCGGGCCAAGAGCGGCTACTGTCCGAGAGGCCTCCGGTTTGCCTCTCCAGGCCGGCTGGAACCCGGAGCCGGCACTACAGAGCTGCACCAGAGCCTAAGCAGCGAGAGTACCGTCGGGCCAGGGCTGCAACAGCCCTCGAGGCTCCGATCCCGTTTCCTCCGTGGCAAGGTGCCTCGAAGGAGCGGAGGGGCTCCTTCGAGGTTCCCTGCCGACTTTCTCCCCTAGCTTCCTCGCGGGCCAGGCATCCCTTTCCATTGGTCCGGCTTGGCCTAGCGCAGACTCCGGGACGTCCCGCGTACCGGTAGTTGCAATGGAAGTTGTTGCTATTTATTAATTTTGCTAGTCGCTTTATCTTGCCTAGGGCAAGCCAAAGCGAGTACAACCAAATGGACAGTGTTCTGCAGATGCAGGCTCCCGAGGAGCCAGTAGGCACCGAGTGGGGCTTTCTCCTGGGCAGGCACGAGCTCGGGCTCTGCGCTTGGCAAATTGTTTGCAGCGTCAGTTCTGCTTCTTGGTTTCCAACGCGCGCCTCGCGCCACAGTCTGGGAAAGGGAAAAGAGCGGCCGCGCTGCAGCGGAGGAACCGGGTTTGAGTCCCCCGTTACTTTAGTAGCAGCGTGTGAAGACGAGCCGAGAGGGGCAGAGTGTGGCCCTCTGGCCTGTAAAGTCGCTTCCCACGCTGCAGGAAAGACGCAGAAACGTTAAACAGTAGCTAGCTCACTACACCGTGGGAGATAACATTGTGGCGAGCTATTATCAACTCGCGTGTGAACACTAACGTGAGAGCGTTACCAATAATAACAGCAATCAGCTGTATAAGATCACTAATACGCGCGCATTTATCAAGTTTGTTTTGCCAATCTGGTGTGCAACGCAGCTAAAACAGGTGGCATGAAATCAAAATCAGAATATCACCCCTGTTTTTAACCCCGCGAATATTTGGTTTAAGTAGTTTGTATACTTAGATTTCGTGTAATGTTAAGGTGGGTTTAGTTTACTGAATATTTCGATTTTTAATATGTGATATGGTGTGCATCTTGAGAGAGGCGGGGAGGGACGAAAGGGGAGAGAGAGGGGTTTTTTAAAAAAAAATGCTTTAAATATTTCAAAACCATAGGGGATGCTGGCATACAGAGAAACAAACATATCAGCGCATTTACTAATTCAGCTACTAGATGTAAGAACTCACTCTAATTCTCCTGCACTGACCTCCCAGTACATATATGCATAGGATGGCATTGGGGATGGTATAAATACTAGGTTACTCCTTTCCAAAAGAGGCTTAGCTCTTGGAAATAAATTATCTTGAAACCAATGGGATTTATTTTCACCTAATATGTTTTGTCTCAGAGGCTAAAAAGAATGATGTGTAGCCTAATTTTATGCATTTATATTTAAAAGTAACTCTATCTATTCAGTGGAACTTCCTTCCAGGTAATAATATTACTGCATTTGTGAGTATGGTGAAGAGACAGGAAAACATACTGGACTATCTGGTTTTGGAGGAGAGGATCCTTACTGGGAACATGGAAACAGATAATCGTCCCCTGACACAATTGTTACAGGAGCTCCATAAACTGACATTTCAGACCAAGGCTAAATATTGATAAACATTCTGATGTGTTTCTGTTGGGTGAGGACAGCTACCCGATAAGGCGCTAAGCACACACCCCCACACCCCAATTTATTCCTTCAGGGTGGTTTCCCAATGGCTATCTCAGAGAAAGTTAATTAAGATGTTTCATAACCTATAACAATAAAATGTTTCATAACCTATAACAATAAAAATAATTTATTAGAATTAGAATACAAAAATAAGTTGTCATATATACATTCGCATGCCAAGTGATTTCCCCCTTTAGGAAACAAATATTGTTTCCGCTGCAGAATAATAGCAGCTGATTTTTAAGCAGAAAGTGGCAAGAAAGTGGAGCTTTAAGCAGTTCTTTTGCAATTGGTTAAGAAAGAAAGCATCAGAGAAAAGACACATTCTGACCAGTACATGTAATGTGTAGTTTGGTCTGGAGACGCTGAGCCTCACTGCTGATTCAAAAGATTACCTAGCAAACAACAGACCCATTGTTGAATCTAAGATCAAATGCACCGTAATTGGGGAAACAATGTAACCTAAAATGACATTAGAACAAAGACTCCTAATTGCAAAACCTGAAATAGGAAGTGTTTATGAGGCAAAGCAGGTATGGAAGCAGCGGGAAGGACCTCTGCCCCTGCTAAATGGGGGGAGTATTCACTGGACAAAGCAAGTTCCCAAGCAGGCAGATGAGGCAGCAGACAGAAGCAAATAAGGTAATGGATCTGAGAGAGGAGGACAGGATAAATGAGGGAAAATAAGGTGGATAAAAGCTAGCTTAGAAAAGGAGAAGGCAGGTGGGGTAAACTCTTCTGAAGTTAACACGGGGCTGAGTGAAGTTATGAGGGGCTGTGTGTCCAGCACCCAGAAAACCTGCAGGGACACAGCCAGCCTCTGATCTGTAGCTTCAAGAGCACAGCATGGATGCAATTGGTGGGAGTGCCTTTGTTGTCTGAAAAATAGGTCAAAAGGCAAGCCAAATAAAAGACAAAGGCATGGTGGAATGACATCAGCCACATGACAAAGACAGAAGCTCTCCTCTCTTCTCATTAGGCCTCAAAAGCCAGGGTCCATTATCTAGCCAGACCTAAAACTTCATTCATGGGGAGCACAAAATGCAAACAAATTATTATTGTTACAGATATGGGAGAACAGGGTTTGGGGTGCAAGGGCACCCATAACTGCTGGAGTTTGTATCTGAAGAAATGTGGATGTACATGAAAGCTTAAACCTAGAACAAACTTAGTTGGTCTCTAAGGTGCTACGGGACTATTTTTTAATTTTTTATTTCGATTGCGTCAGACCAACACGGCTACCTACCTGATGCTAGAGTTCGTGAATGTTAGGAAAAAATAAAAGGGTAGGATTTAGCTGATTTTTTGAGTATTGAAGGGACGATGCCATGTCAGTGGAAAATTATGGGCTAAGTTCCCTTTCCAGGCCAGGGTCTCACCTGGGATAGAAGCCATTAAACATAGCAAAAGGTGTTGATGGCCCACCAAAGGGAAATCCTTGTGCCTGTGCCAACTGAGGTTACTACAGGAAAATTGTCACCTTTTAAAACTAGGCTTGGAATAGCAGGGAGAATGGGGATGAGCAGACAGAAGAGAAGGAGTTGCTTCGAAGGAGTTTTCTGGGAAGGAGAAGCAGGAAGTGGGGCAGACTGAGAGACAGGCACCATGAGTGCTGGCTGGAGACAAGCTAGGGCAAAAGCACAGAATGGCACATAGAAAGCCTTTGAATGCAGTGCTGGGCTGCTGTGAAGGAGAAGCCCCTCTTGAGATGTGAATGCTGTAAGTTCTGCACTCCCTCCATCTGCACGCAGGTTGTTAATATGTGTTAATAAACCATATTTCTTAAAGACACGACAGTCTCCACCACATCTTCATTCCAAACGGAAACATGACAACCCTTGTAACATTATTTATCTTTCTAAGATCCCATACATAAAGTAAATTTCTGCACAGATCAGAAGTATAACAAAATTGCATTCTGACAAAGGGATCTCTAAAACCAACAGAGTGAGAGATTGAGTAAAACCGCTTAGCACACA